GATTATAATGGTGTTCTGTGAAGTACTTCAGTGTCAGCTGATGGAAAGCATCAATTAGATTTGCTATAGTGTTGCATCCATGCCAATTGTAAACCAGAGGAGTTACCTTCTAAGCATGCTTTTTTTTATTGCTTCAGGTAGGTTTGAATGCTCTTTACAAGGGGTGGCAGCTTCTCTAGTAATGCTGGTACTGTAGGCAGTAAAATACTGTCCTGTGTTAGCACTTAGTGGGATTCGGCCTTCACTCCTTCAGTGCTGCACAGCCCATAGACTGCATCAAACCTCTGAAGAATTACTCAAATTTGAACAAGTGTTAAGTGAAACTGAAGGACAGTGACTTTGAGAACACGTCATTTGTCTTTTAAAGTTTAAAACACAAAAATAGTAGTATCAGGAAATTATTCTGTCTTGAATAATTGTATCCAATTCCTGCAGGTTTCTGATCGACAGACTTACCTGGTGATTTCACTGGTTCTTTGTCTCATCCTGGGCTTGGTGCTTTTTGTGCAGCGGTGCAGGAGCCCTTCTCAGTTCTGTGACGATTACCTCTCAAAAATTCCCAAAAGCAATCACTACCCTAGCCCCAAAAGGTAACGTATTTATATTTGAAACTTAATTGTTATTGCAGCTTTTTTTGGTATTTCCACAGTCTGCTGGTACTGAAATATCTGCTTTAATTCTGAGTTGTCTTTCTGCACGCTCAAAATTGATGGCAAAGAGCCATTACTGCTTTGTAGTAACACTCTCCTAGAAGCATTTTGGGCCTACTACACTTGATAACGTGTTGCAAACACAGTGCTCTGTCTGATTGCCAGGCTGTCTTGGGCACCTCAGTTCTGTCTTTCTACCAAAAATGCTTTTTAATGCAAAATGTGTATGACAAAGTACTGAGAAAAATGTGTTAAAAAAGCTTTCTGGAATTTTCTAGGTGTTTTTCCTCCTATGATGATATGAATCTGAAAAGAAGAACTTCTCTTCCACTGGTCAGATCACAGTCTTTTCAGCTAGCTGGTAAAGAAGGTATTATTCATATTGTACATCTAGTTTCTAGTGTTACTCTTAGTGCTACACAATGTGCATATAGTTCATGTATGTGTTCTGTAGGACAAGGTGGTTTGTGAACAAATTACCAGATATTCATAGAAGTGTGCTGGATTATGCTAAAACCTTAAATGCAGTTTTTGATATCAGTTATGCTCTGCTCTGCACGTGTTTTCTTGGGGTTAGTAGCAATCCATGCAGGCACTCAGATCTGCAAAGCTGTCAAACTTGCAGAGTAGTTTTTTTTTACTTGTAAGTGTCAGACGTGGGAAGTCTGAGTGCCCTACTTTTCAGAAGTCTTGATAGTCTGTGTTTGAAACTTGGCAGGTATTTAGGATTCAAATTTAGCAACTGTGGTAAGAAATTTAGACCATTTATCTTGGCTCGGGTATGAGGAACGATCTGGTCTTTTCAGTATTCACGTTAGACTTGGGACAACTGAATTTTGATTTCTTAGGCCATCATTGTCATGCAAAACCAAGTGTTGCAGATTGTAGTAATTACCGAGTATGCAGCTGACACTGTTCTTTGGGTGCAGCAAACTTGCCTCACAAGTTTTTGTACTGTGAATGCAAGTGCATGAAAACTTGTAAGTTGAGTTGGAAATGTGTTGTAATAAAGACTAGCTAAGGCCTATGCTATTTTATTTTCTTTTTTGAAAAAAACACACTTTTCCTGCTTCATCTTGGAAGAATGGTTTTGCTTCCACCAAGGCCCTGGTGGAAGAATGCCAGACTGGTCTCGTGTCTATCTGAATGTCTGTGTCCTTGATAGGTGCACGTGCTTCTGTCCTGTCAGGGTCAGGTTGCTTGTTAAACACTGTTATGCTGGTTTGTTTTCTTAGACATCAGCTTTTGCTGACTCCTGCTCCTTTTCCCCAAAGGATGTTCTCTGCTCCTCTCCCATGGCCTAATTTATCAGAAAGCCAACCTGTTTTCAAGTGTGTGCCACTGACAGCTGCCATGACAGCACAGTGGAATTCCTCTGAGTGCTCCCTCACTTCCAGTATTTGTGTTGTGCCCCCTTAACTTACAAAGGGAGAAAAAAATGTGCCTGATAAGTGGAATATTTTGTTGTGTTGCTCTAGAGCTGGCAGTGTCAGGACTGCTAAATGTGTGTTTCCTCTCTTACAGTGGATCCAGAGGATCTGTACATTGTAGAACCTCTGAAGTTTTCCCCAGAGAAGAAGGTACTGTGGGGTGGGGTGGGAGGGCTGGTGGGGCTGAGGTGCTTGTGCTGGCAGGTGATTGAAGGCGTGTCTTTGCTGCTCTGCTTCCCTTCCAGAACCTCACTGTTTCTTTTTTTCACTTGTGATTTCAGAAAAAGCGTTGCAAATACAAAAGTGAAAAGCCAGAGACTGTTAAGCCGACAACAGAGTCTGTGCATCCCATAGCCAATGGGGAAATCAAAGGAAGGAAGCCCTTCACAAACCAGAGGGACTTCTCTAACATTGGGGAAGTTTATCACTCTTCGTATAAGGGCCCCCCATCCGAAGGAAGCTCCGAAACATCATCACAGTCTGAGGAGTCTTATTTTTGTGGCATTTCAGCGTGTACGAGTCTGTGCAATGGACAGACCCAAAAGACAAAAACTGAGAAGAGGGCTATAAAGCGAAGACGGTCTAAAGTTTCAGACCAAGGGAAGCTCATAAAAACTCTGATACAGACTAAGTCGGGGTCAATGCCAAGCCTGCATGACATAATCAAAGGAAACAAAGATATAACAGTGGGAACACTTGGTGTCACGACAGTGTCTGGACACATCTAAAACTAGCTGAACTTCTCAAACAGGAGAGTGTTTGTTCGTTTGAGAACAGTCTGTGGTATTCTGTGGGAGGATAGTGGGAGACAAAGAGCTCAACCAATTGGAAAGTATTCAGAAATTTGGTTTCTGCCTTTTTAAAATAGATGGGATTGTGTCAATCTTGGCTATAAGCTGCAGCTTTACAAGGCTGATAATTTCCTATGAGAACAGCTTGGGGGGAGGGAGGGCAGGGTTCATTTTATAAAGGTTTTTTTTCACAGTTCCTGGGACAGAGATTTTTTGAAACCCAGTTTGTTGGGTGGAATAGGGATAAAAGCCTAATCCTCTTCCTTTAGCTTTGTTCCTATTTCTTGCACCTTCCCATATTTATGTGCCTTTTGTCTATTTATAATGCCACTGGAAGAGGGGAGATACAATTGTTTGTCATTTGATTTATTTTGTAATTTCTCTAGCTTTTTTTGAAGATGCAACACTACAGTGCTGTAAAGGGACATGTGTTGGCCTTCAGCTGGACTCGGTAATGTGGACTGGATACTGTAAAAATACCAATAGATGGACTTGCCTGACTAGATTCTGGTTTTGCAAACTCTGAGGAAAATACGTCACCAGGGTTGGTAACTGTCTATTTGCACCTTGAGTCACAAATGTGAGCTGTAGTCTGTGCAAAATCAGTGACGGTGGCTCTCCAGGATTTCCCCTGTGCAGTGGAACCTGAGGCTGATGAATGCGTTTGTCATCTCAATGGCCTGCTGCAGTTCTCTGAAGGAAGTGGATGAAGAATGCTCACTGTTGTCGTGCTGAGTTCAGTGAAAGCTCAGCTGAAGAACGGGAGGGTGAGCCTGGCACAGCCAGGCCATTCTCTGAGCCGGTCCGGCTGCGCTGAGTTTGCAAAGCCTTGGAGTCTGAGCAGTCGGGCTGGTTCACTGGGGGTATTTCCACAACGTTTGCTTTTGTATTGGCTAACAAATGTGCAGTGTTGGTATGGTTGGTATTTCATATTCAAGTGTTTTTTATTTTGACTGTGATTGTATATTTGGATACTATAGGATGTGTGGTTGCTAAAATGTTGTGTGATTCTGAATGAGTGGAACAAAAGGTTATTCCTTTTGACAGGTGTTACAGGTTCACGTTGTACAAAATAAGTTAACTTATTGAGCACTTTTAGTGGTACCCTTTTTAACAGATCTAATGCCTTTCCTGGGTATTGTATGTAATGTGACTTATTTAAAGACTTTGGTTTTTTTGCTGCTTTCTTGTTAGTTTTTGAATACTTTAAAGTGATGTACTTTCAGAGTTGATCTGCACAATTAGCCAGTCAGAGCACATGAACCAGACGTGTTGAACCTGAATTCAGAAGGGTGTCAAACCTGGATTAGGAAAATACATACCACCAGAGTGCAGCATCCAATGTTGTGGAACAAGAGTATGTAACTACAGAGCTGTAGTGCCATTAGAAACTGTGAATTTCCAAATAAATCTGAACACTTTGTCTTTCATTTACTGGCATTTTTCCTTTGAAAATGAAACTTGTGGCTTAAATTGTCTGAGAAGGACTGTTCTTTAATTTTCAGTCTAGGACTAGGACTGGGGTCCTTCAGCCCTAGTAAGGAGTTCATAAACTCAGCCTAGATGTGTTTGTCTATCTAAAGAAAGAAAGGGGGGAGGTGAATTCTGAAGACCAAGCTGTGCTTTGTCTGAAAGTTCAGGAATTGTGGCCCTGTGAAACTGCTGGATAAGTTTCCAGCAGGTCAGTTCACACCTTGCCCAGGGGGATCCCTGGGCGTGGTGGCTTTCTGTGAGAACAACGGCATGAAATGACCTCTTGATACTCAGAGCTAAGGTTTGTGAAAGATATAAAAGGCCCTGAAAGGAAAAGGTTAGGGAGTCGTTTATTATTTCAAACCAGAGTTTTCAGCTTGGTTTGCCTCTTACTGGTCCTTCCCTCCTAACTTATTTCTGTCAAGCACAGCAGCACTGTGTGCAGCCAAATGCTGAATTCACAGGCTCTTCAGCACTGATTTTTTCACTTGAGTGTCTCAAGACTCTCTGCTTCATCATAGCACTGTTACTTAAAAAGCAATTTAGTGTGGGTTTTGCTGGGGAGGGGGGGTTGGATGGGGAGAGTGGCTGTTTTTTTGGGGGGAAGGTGTGGGCTTCTTTTATTTACTCCTTTCTCTTGATATGTCACTTGTAGGAAACTGTGTACCTTCATTGCCCAGGCAACCACTGGGCTCTTCTCTTCAGTAAGAATCACCTGAAACTGGACATGTCTGAATTCTTAAAACAGCCCATCTTTACTCTGCTATGAACCAAAGGCTGGCAGGTATATACTAGGCTGATAAATGTAGAATGAGGCTGCACATTTGTTATGACCCGCCCAGAAGAGGAGGGTAACCCAGGTTCTTGTTAATACATCCTTTGGGGTGGATTAGAGTGAAACAACACTGAATAGTTGGCATTTGTAAACATATATATATATATGTATATAAATATATGCAGGGTTTATTTTAGAGCAATTTTGTTTCAAAGGTAAACAAGTGTGTTGCCATTTTGGGTACCAACATCTATAGTGATGCAGCAATATTAAAGCATAGCAATATTAAGGCATAAAAATAACACTTAAGAAAATGTGTAAGGGAGAGAAAGGGAAAGAAAGGATAAGGGTCCTAAGATATATATACATATATATAGTCACCACCCACTGGATGCAGCAATGAAACTTGGTAGTTGCAGCTTCCACGTCTGTTGGTTCAAGTGGTAGTCTTGATCCATTGGGGCTGGGAGAAGACACACACACACCCCCAAACCTCAAAGATTTCAAGCTCAGGTGGTAATGCCTTGTACTTCCTCTGGGGTGGGGAGTTTTTCAGTGGATCATGTCATGGGACATGTCACAAGTCTTGGATGCTCCCCAGAGGGATCTTCACAGCAGAGCCATCATGTAAGGGAGGACACTGGCATGATAAGAAGGATTATCCTGCTTCTGCAGGATTTGCCTCTTCTTTTTTCTGGCAATCCAGTTTGTAGCTTCAGGTAGGGGATAGTTGGACCATAGCACCCACTTGTCTCATCTGAAGGTCCTTTCCCAGTAGCAGTAGCACATTCAGGGAGGGGGAGGCTTTGCTGGTTGTGCAGCTGTTTCTTTTCAGTTTACTACAGTGGACAAAAGTCTTTTGGTGATCTTACAGTGTTTAGGCCATTGACTATTTCAGTCTGACAATGTTGAAATTCCAAGCACATGTTCACATTTCCAAGTTAACAGTTTCAGATGTCAAACCAAATGCCTTCTAAACCAATCCTTTAATACCCTGTGCTCTCTGTACATTTTAAGCACTGGGCATGACTTAGATCTAAGGAGTTGCTGCATTCTGTGGAAGAGTATCAGGGATAAAGCTTGTCCTGTAATGAACAGGAAAAGTGCCATGGGAATAACACATCTGAAGGAACCTACAGAGCTGATTGTGCTTTTGCAGACTCAAGTGTGTGTGCTTTGGCAGGAGATTGGAGATTGAACCACAGCTTCCACCTTCTGCTGACTTCCTGCTTTTAAGTATCTGTAACCACTGTTTTAAAAAAGGACTCTCAATATCATGTTCTTACTGCTTAATGTTGTCCTTTCATGTGGGCTCTTGAGTAATTTTTTACTTTCGGTTGTATTAATGTCATGCAATCTAGCTTTCAAAATCTGATTCTTTGGTGGAATCAGGTCTCAAATTGGTTATAATCTTTATATAGGGAAAAATAGTTTCTAATGAAGACAGTCGTTAAATCTGAATGAATTCCTCTGGTGATGTGGATACTTAAATAGGGGAGGAGCTAGTCCATCTTGTGATATTACATACTGAGATTGGACAGCTGCTCATGTAAAATACTAAGAAGCCAGTGTGTGTGTGCTGAGTGAGGATGGTGTCCTTCAGACCTCGGGCAGGTCTGGAGCCCGTGGTCAAAAAATACCTACAGAATGCAGAGGTTTCCTCAGGGGGATGGATAATCACGAACATACACCTTGTGTAAGTGAATTACCAGCTGTGGTTGCCAGAAGAAGGCATCTAGGTTATATACATTAGGTATCAAGAGAGGAAAACCAATATTTTTTAAATATGGAAACTCTATCAGTTGGTTGGTGTTGTAAGTAGAGAACTCAAGTCTAAGGTGTCTCTGTGTGGCTTCTGCTTTTGCCAAGTTACAACACGAGATGAAGCAAGATGGAACAGCTTAGCATGCTTTGCTTAATTGGGTACAAACATGTTCCACTTGATCTGGAACAATTAAAGTGTAGAGCCCTGACCACAAACTGCTGTGAGCAGGCACCGGGTGGCTCATCTGGAAACCCGAAGTGTCAAACAGCACTGGGTGCTGCGGGAGACATCGCTGTGGTTTGTGAGAGCTCAGAGATGATCTATGTCCCCAGAGCTTCTCTAGAGAAAATGCTTTAGTTTAGGAAAGGGTGCCGAAATGAATCTTTCTTACTTATCCCTTCTCTAATTTAAGGATAGTAATTTTGAAGGAAGTTTCCAAGGAGCTTCCTGCTGCCTTGCTGCTGTCTCACATTGGACACGTGGCCTGGGAGCTGCAACTGGTCTCACCTGTGCTGCTTTCCAGTGGCATCACCCAGTAACACTCACATCAGCAGTACAACTTTTGGTAGGGAATAGAGAGGAAGTTAGTATCTGCACTTTGTGGATCTAGAGATGGAAAATGTTTACCACCCTGAGGCTTGTTTTTCCTTTGTTAGATGTGGTCAGAGCCTACATCCAGCTGCCAGGCCCTCCACAGACTCGCAGCAAACAAGAATCCCTGTCTATTTCTTTTCTCCCAGAAAAATAACTTAAAGCAGGTAATGAATCTTCTGTTAGTCATAATTTGACACAGTTACTGCTGGAACATAAAGGTTGTATAGACTGCTCATGAAACCACCTGTAGCTCAAAGTTAAATCCCAGAAAAGTCAGCTGAAGGTCCCTCAGGGTTTTGGGAAGTCAGCTGATATCTGTGCTGTGTAATGAGATGGGCATACCTGCTGCTGGGCTCTCTGTCATGAAACCCATGCTGGAGGACCTGAATTTGCTGAGTGACCTGGAGCTGAGGTATGATCCTGGTGGACTCAGTGAAGATCTCGATGTAGGTCTTGGGGGATTTTGTTGGTTTTTTTGTTGTTGCTGGTTGGCTGGTTTGGGGGTTTTTGTTTGTTTTTTTATGGGCTGAGGCTGCTCCCAAGAAAACGAAATTGTCAAATACCAACTAGGCCACATTGGCCAGCAGAGCCAGCTGGTGTTTTTCAGGGCAAAGGCTGAGAACCTGTAGCAGGGCACAGACCCTACTGAAGAGCTTGTGAACGCAGTTCTCAGCCGTCACTGGGGAGGAGACGGGAAATCAGCATCTGCACGTTCTCCTTGGTCTTCCTCACAACCTCTAAGTGACCACAGCACCTCATTACATTTTCTCCCATAACTAAGCTATTGTATCATATGAAACGACCTGCTTCTGTTTCTCAGAATAGATCCCGTTACCTCATAACCACTATACCTCATTTCCTTGTTCAAAAGAAATGAAAGCAACAGAGTAATATTTTAATTATTCCTCTTTTTCTCAGTTGCTTTGGCTCCTTGGATTCTCTCCCACCTTGAGACAGAGCCCTGTACCTCTTTTGCTGAATTCAGGGCTGCTGTCTGCTTGTTGGGATCATGGTGAAGGAGAGGACAAAGCCCCTTGCTCACTGGAAGAGGGATGTATTAAGCACTGCAACACCAGTCCTGAGCTGTTAGCAGTGGATTTTGAAACCTGCTCAAGTGTGAGTATCCGAATGTCCCCCCTATGAGCTTTTGGCACCAAGACATGGCTTTACATGTGCTGTAAATGCTTCTAGCAAGGAGAGCAGTCACTGAGGAAATGAAAAGCGTCACCCTCATCTGGGAAACCAAACTGTTAAAAAAGCATGTAATAAAGAAACGACCCGAAGACGTCAGCACCAACTGCAAAGGCTGAGTGAGTTCAAATGTCTTCCATGCCTCTCCAAGGCTTCAGTAGATGAAGATCCTCTCCCTTTGGAGGCAGCTCTTACAAGCATCCATGCTAATGTTCAGTCAAAAATCCATGTCCTTTTTTTTTTTTTGTTGGAACTCCTTCAGCTGTGGCTCTCTGGGAAGGTTTTTATTCTGTGAGATTCAAGAGCACTCTGCTGTTGGAAATTGTCCCTGTTTATACAGGTTTTCCACACACTGTCCATCCCTCCCTGCCAATCTGCTCTTCAATGCACAGAGTTGAATCCCTTTGCTATCCAGCAGTTACTGCAACTTCTTCCAGAGCCTCTCCAAAGTTAAACATAGACTTGGAAGTGGGTTCCAAGACTGTCTGTAGCTGTCTGGTGCTGTTTGTGAGCTCTCATGGGGGAGCTTATGGGAACCCGTGGGCTTTCCCTACTGGGAGCTCATGTCCATCTGAGGAGCCTCAGTTTCAGAATTGTTTTCTTTCTAATATGATATTTTCTACCTAAAGAGCTTGATTTGAAGTCTTTGTTTCTAGACTTTTCTTCTGACACAATTCCCTGTCCTCATGGTTTTGAATACTGTTTTTTGAATGTGAATGAGTCTCAACTTCCTCTTGGGTGTAATTTATGCAGGCTGGTGGGCTTTCAGGAGTTGCTTTTTGGCATTTCCACTAGTCATTAGCGTAATAGGAAACATTTGTTAATCGCTTTCAGACAGACTCTGTCCAAAACATGATGAGAGCCTCTCCTACACAGAGGTTCACACTTAAGTTGGTTTTGTTTCATCTTCTGTCAAGTGTTAGATCTGGATCATTGTTCAAGTCCTGCTTTCTTTGGGATATTTCAGGCAAGTCATCCCTTTGTCCCTAAATCTGCTGATACAAACTTGTAACTGGCTGATTCTCTGCTGTCAACATAAACTTTAGTACAGTTATGTGTATTGTTACTAAAAGCTCCCATGTCTCCTCTGGGAGTGAAGTGGGGATAGAGAGTGTTCTTCTGAGCAAATCCTTTTCTTCAGTCTGTATCATGTTTTTCGTTGGTTTGGCAGAGAGGGACAATTCTCTGATAAAGCCTCTGGAAGGTGTTTCCCTTTGAAAATACTCTTTTCTGTTCCAATGACATAATAAGGCTGCTGGAAACAGAGAATGCATCTTGCAGACGCTGAAGAGGGGGATAGGGAGGCAGATGGAAAAATCTGATACCCTTTTTGTCCTTCTTATGCCCTCCTTTCCTACCTACCTGTCCTTGTCCCATATTTTAGGAAGGCTTAACCTTGTCTAAATCAACACCAACTGCTCTGTGACTCTGTCATCTTGGTGATAGCGAAGCTGGTGACAGGGAAAACGGAGTGTGACAGCAGCACCAGCACAGTACAGTGTGTGAGGAAGGGAGAGGTCCCTGAAAGAATGTTGTGCACCAAACACAGTCCTTTGATGGTAAAATATCTGTGAGCATTGGCTTGCCATGACGTGGTATCAGCAGGCTCTTGACTGGAGCATTAAAAAGCAAAGATGCAGCTGAAATGGCTTTAGCTGATTTCATTGTCTGTCCCTCTCACCCACCTATTAAAAAAAGCATCTCTGTGAAAATAGGAAGCAGTGGGTGAGAAATAAGAGCCCTTCTGACGTTTAAGGGAAACTGCTACTGTGCTCTCAATCCCACTGGGATAAGATGTTGGCATTAAACATGGTGCCAGGGAAAAACTTGGGAATGGATCATCTCCAGGCAAAGCCACTGTGTGACACTCTCTTGTAATGGTCATGAGAGTGGATGGGGACCTGTCCTTGGGCTGGCTGGGGAATGCTGCTCGGGGGGCCTGAGAGAGGGTAGGCATAACCCAGCTTGAACTGTTGGAGTTGGATTTATGTTGCTTTGTGTCTTTTGTGTCAGAAACCTAGAAGTGCAAGGAAGAGCCAGTTGGGGTTGTTGAAACCTCTTTTGCTGCACATTGCTGCTGCAGCAAAGGGCTGTGGTGAACATCTTCAAAAAGCAGCGGGGTGTGTGGTGGTGCAGGCATGGCTTTGACAGCACATTTGATTTATTGGTGTGGTTGGAGGCAGAGCTGAGCCCTCGTTTTGGAGAAACAAGTGTACATACATTATTTAAGTGTGCCCTTCTCAGATCCCAGTTTTGATGTTCAAGATCAAAGCCTGTGTGTTGGGATTGCTTCCTTCAGCCACAAATCTCCAGTTTGTTCTTGTATCAAACATTTTAGTTTTTTAACACTACTATACAAATACACACTTCTGTAAAATGCCAGAACAAACTGTTTATAATCACTCGTGTGCACCTGTAAATCTTCAGGAAATTCTCATTGTCACCACTCAGAAATCTGCGGTCAATGAGGAATGGAAATGTCCCTGTCTCTCTTCATTAGGATTTTGTAATGAGCTCTTATAAGTGCTGGTCCTTGCAGCATAGCCTGGATTCTGGATGATTTCTTGAAAGGCAAGAGAAATTCTACAAAGATGAGTGGCACTGTGTCTGCCCCTGGCATTAGTCACGAGATACCCAGCCAGGTTCGATCCTGCTGCAGTGCTCAGCACTGACCTGGAGAGATGATGAAAAAGCCCTTCCCTCTGTGAGGCTTCTTCAGGTTAGACTGTGGGATTGGAGATAGTATTTGCAAAGGCATGAGGGGCAGCAGAAGCTGTCAGAAGAGCCTGCTTGTGCCCCAAGGTACTGTGTGTTCCCCGCATTACAGCAGTCATCTGGTTCAGCCTGGCTGGTGCCCCGGTGGATCAGCGGGGGTGAGGGCAGCCCACCGAGCTCTGTTTGGGCTGGTAATGCTGGGGCTGTTTGGGCTGCAGCACTCACTGTGTCCTCCTCTTCTGACATAGATTGGTTTTTGTTACAGTGGGATGGTGTCTGTGACCATGTTCTGTGCCTCAGGATCCATGCCCTGTGAAACAGCCAAGGAAAAGGTCGGATGCAAAACGGACAGTGGTAAGGAATTTGCCCTGTGTGAAATGAAGTGACTCCCTAGCACTCAACAGCTGCACTTGGCATTGGTTCCTCATCCTGCTGAGGGCAGAAGTCATCAGCTCTATCTCTGCCCTCTGCCAGAGGTTTTGTCGTTCCCTTTGCACTGCTTGTGGTCTAGGACACCTCAGCGGAAAAGCAGCTGCCTCTGTCTGAGTGGGCTGCTGGAAAGAGTGGCTGGTGGTGGGTATGAGCTATCACTCAGCCCCGGACTGGCAGCGCAGCCCTCGTACCTCCAGCCCGTGGCTGCGGGAACGCGTTCGGCTCCCGAGCCCCGCGGGCTGGTCCTGCTGCCTGGCGGGGGAGGAGCAGGTTCGTGTCCCGAGCCTGCAGCCGAGGGCGGAAGCTCTTTGGGGTTTGCTGTCGGTGCTTGAGGCTTTCAGAGAGTCGCAGCATCTGAGCCGGGTGTTCACCGGATGCAGGGATGCAGGCGTACAAAGGCAGAGCTGGGTGCTCCCCCAGGGCTCAGGCTGGGACAACCCCGGCAGTTTTTGGCTGCCATATGGAGGACCACACCAAGCGTGTCCAGCCCATCCCGCTCCCGGCCATGCAGCAGAACTTGAACTACGGGTACCCCCAGATTTTTTGGGTGGATGGCTGTGCTGAATCAAGTACTTCCTGCCCCTCGGCACCCCCTGTTGCTCCTTTCCCACCACCAGTACCGGACCGGAGGAAAAAGCCAGGGAAAAACAGGGAAAGGAGGGGCTTCGACTTCCTGGTGATCTACTTGCTGCTCCTGCTGGCCTTCGCTGGAATGGGGCTGAGCATGTTTCGAATTTTTCACCTGGAGAAGGAACTGGCTGAACTCAGAGAGGTGAGGTTTGCCTGGCTGGTCACACGTCCCTGGGGAAAGAGGGAAAAGGAAAAACTTGAAATTGTGTCTGAAATGCTCAGGTGGCACAAAGCTCCCCAAGGGACAGGATGGTGCTACTTCAGTGTCTGCCGTGACAGAGTAAGTGAAGTTGCTTATTACTGTGAGGGACTGCTCGGTTGGTGACTGATGTACCTGGATGTGTTCGTGTTCCTGAGTGCTATGAGGTCTCTCCCTGTATATTTCTTAGCACTTTACAGCTCCCAGTGAGCACCCAGAATTTGCCACTGTTAAAGACAGTCTTTGACTGCTTATGCTCTCATTCTAAGACAGTGTCATTCTTCTCTTTTGACAGTCTGCCAGCGCTGAACACATCCCTCCAGCTCTGGAGAAACTCATAGGTGAGTGGATGTGCTTGGAGGAGGAACTCCTGTGTTAGTAGGTGTGAGTGTTCCTGTCAAACTCTTTCCTCATCAGGGGTCACAGCTTGATGCTCTGAGAGTGCTGATTTCTCTTGCTTGGCTGGACAAAGAGCTTTATCTCAAGGCTGTGAGGATGTAGTCCTGCAACCTCCCCGCTGGACTGCTCAGAGGTGTCAGCCACAGGTTCCTGGGGCCTCCCATTCCCAATGTGACAATGGTACTAGGAGTACTCTGCTGTGAAAGGGAGAATCTGGCTGCCCCAACACAGAGCAACAACATGAGTGAAGGAGAAAGGAAATGGGCACTGGATGTGTTACTTCTTTCTCTCCTTACTCTTAGAAGATTCTGGGAGGAAGTAGAGAGGTCTGTCTTCTTTGGAGTGAGGAATTAACTCCCACCCTTGAAAGCACACCTTATTTTTTTCCTAAATTCTTTTGGTACAAAGCTAGTTGAGAAACATTTGATTATATGTAGAGAGTTTTTCTCTTAGAAATGTAATTTCAGTGAAATTGAAACATTCTACAACAACCTGACAATCTTTCTAGATTTCACTTAGGTAAAAAAGGAGTTTCAATTTCAATGGAACAATTTAAAAATCATATTTTGGTCTTCCAAACTATTATTTTTTCATTTGCATTCCATGCTAATGTTGTCAGTGAGGATATCCTTCTTAATGATGGTCAGGTCTTAAAGAGCTTTTCAGCTCTCTTGACAATTTTTGCTAGATTTGAAAGGTTTTATTTTATTTTCTCCCTTTGAGGATTTTGGTTAGTAGAAAAGTTAATTTCTTTCCAAATTTGTTCTGATACTGAATGCAAACAAATTTGGAAATAGCAAAATTCTCTGGAAAGGGCAGTCCTGATTCCCATCAACTCCCATATCAATAAATTTTCCACTTTAGGGAAAGAGGAACTATTTTAGCTGGATGCTCAATGCTGTGATCAAAAACTTCTTTAGCAGAAGCCAAACAAAAGTAGTAACCCTGAATTTCTTGAGGGGATGAATAAATAAATAGAAACAGGGAAATAGTGTAAAGAAGAAAAGGGAGAGGATAGAAAAATTTAATTGGCTTGAGGAAAGAAGAGGCTGCTTCTAAAATTAGAGGACACGAAGCAGATGCTGATAAGAAGGGAAGGATGAAGTGGGTGGGATCCACATACTGAGTTGGTGTAACTGGCCCACCTGTCCAAGGGAAGCCAAGGCCCCCAGGAAAGGCAGAGTTTTCCCAGCTGTGCTCTGCCTCCCTGAGGACAGTCTGCCTGGCCAGAGGGGTGGTTTGCAGGGTCTCAAGTGACAACTTTGTGGCTGGTTCCCTCCTGCACTCTGGGCACATGGCTAATGTCTTCTCTATTTTTGTGCAGGGCAGAAGGAGTCAATGAAAAAAGAAAGAAAGGCAGCACACTTAACAGGTATGTGCTGAGGGACCAGGAGGATTCGGGAGCAGGAGACAGGGCAGATGTAATTGTACTGAGAGGGTGTCATGGTTGTAGTTGTGAGGAGCCCACCTCACACAGACCTTCCTATTTTCCTTGGAAAACGTGTGCTCTGATGGTGGAAAGTTGCTCCACAGACAAAACCTCCCCCTCATTCAGACTTCTCAGCGAGGCCTGTTTTTGGCTTGCCTCTGGGGTGTGTGGGGCAGAAGCTGTCACAAGGGGCTGGTGTTGATGAGGTGCCAGGTCAGGGTGGGCTGCAGTCAAGGGCTTGGAGAAGGGTAGACTTGTGACGTGGGGTGTGACTTGATGGGAAAAAACCCCACACAACTGTTGTACTTTACCACCCCTTTTTTTTTCCTTCTTGATTCGCCTTCCAGGGAGCCCATCCCAGCAAGGCCTCCCTCTAGAGTGGGAGCCCATCTCTGGCCATGCCTACACCAGTGACATTCAGTACCGTGACCGGGGGCTTGTCATCAATGAGACCGGGCTGTACTTCGTGTACTCCAACGTGCTGTTCCGGGGCAATGTCTGCGACAGCCAGGTGCTCACACACATTGTCTACAAGAGAAACCCGAGCTCCCCCGGCAGCTACGTGCTGATGGAGGACAAAGGCATCAACTACTGCACGGGTCACAGGACGTGGGCCCGGAAAAGCAACCTGGGGGCTCTATTCAGTCTCAGGAAGATGGACAGTGTGCACGTCAATGTCTCCAAAATCGCTCTGGTTAATTTTGAGGAATCCAAGACTTTCTTCGGCTTGTTTAAGCTTTGAAATGGAGTGTGGCCAGCAGCCCCCCCTCACACACACCCTAGGATGTGAGGGCTGCCTGAGTGCAGTGGCCAAACCAGGGTCACACACCACAAAACTCACCAAGAAACCATGTTTTGGCCTTCAGTGTGAAAGAGTTCAAGCCACTGGCAAAGGCTTGAAAGCAGACACCTGGGAAGCACCAGAGCTGTATTGTGTCAACCTGAAGAGAACTGGACATGTTCTCCTTACAAAGAAACCCCCAACAAACTCAAAATGTGATGTGCTGAAGACCCCATTGAAACTCACTACTCGCTACCTGAGAAGAGGCTGGGGCCTGCGCCTCACATGGTGTCATGGCCCTGGTGAGCTTGGGCCAGCAGAGACAGCTGGTGGGAGTTATGGAGGTCCCTTGAGCCAGGACTGCAAGTGCCTGGGTTGTGCCACACTGCAGGGAGTGGTGTGGGAATGAGTAGTGCCAACAACTGCTCACCCCGGGCCATGGCTGCCCACCCTGCCTGGGCACGGGGCTCTGTGCTTGCTGTCTGACAGGCACCTGCCTGCAAGCTGGGCTGTTACAGCTGGTATGTTCTTTTTGTGTTTAGTTATTGAACTGTTCCCATCCCAGAAAATGCTCCTCAACCCCTTTATTTAACTCATCCTGACTGTCTTGCAAGGAACATGCTAGAAGCAATGGTGGCATGAGGGGAGTCCTGACCCTGGAGTGGAACCATGACCACACTGTGAGGGTGGGGCTGGTGAGGAGGCCACGTGCTGACAGGATCTGAACAGTGGGGCAGTGAGGCTTAAGGTGAAAGCAGTATTTCCAACCCCCCTCCTGCCCTTTCAATATGTGAGGATCCTCTGTGGAGAGCTGGTCTGCCACCCCTTTCATGATGCATGTGGTGACATGCTGGCATCTATCCATGGCATGGCTTCAACTGGCCCCCTTGTCATGAGATGTTGTCTCCTGAGCAAAACACAGATGGTAAATAAAGATATATTTTTCTAGTAAGTGACACTGTCCTCTCCTCATTTGGTGCAACAGGTTTCTGCAATGGCCAAAACACTGAAGGCCTCTGTGATCACGGTCCAGCACCTTGTTCCTTCTCCAGCAGCATGGCAGAAATCTGGGAGCCTTATCCCACTTCACTGCCTGCTTGGCACTGAACAGGATCCCTTCCATGGAGCTTTGGGGCTCCAGCATGCAAACATCAGTATTTGGGGTTTGGGGAGGTGTGATGGGGGCAGCACAGACCAGACAGCCCAAGCCCACTTGGACCATCAGGCAGGGCCTGATTTCAAAACACAGGCTTGAGCTTGAGTGGAGCCAGACACTTTTTGCTGAGCAGAAGCACTGCTGTCCCCAAAGACACTGTGGTCCTCTGTGTGACTTCTCACAGGGCAGTCTGAAGAACAAGGAAAGGAAGTGGTGTAAACAAAAAAAAAAAGCCTATTTGCTCACTCTGGTGTCTGGTCAGTGCAGTTCTATCCCCAGAGTTGTCTGTCGCGCTACCACCAGGCAGGACCCAAAGGCTGCAGCTGTGTTGCATCATCACTTTTGCCTGTGGTTGTGCTTTCTTGCAGCTCTGGTGTCGGTCTGCTCTTCAGCAGTCTGCAGCATTTATTTACTTTTCCTCCGTGCTGCTCTCAGCTTGGTGGTGTGTGGCCTGTGGTTTGCTGTTTCTTGCTTCAGGTAAGCCTATTTCTTGGAAATTTGTCAGTGATCTGGCTACTGGTGTGTCCAGTATGAAGGGAACACTGCACCTCTGCTCACACACCCGGTGCTGCACTCAGATGGTTCCACTGCATTTCTCAGGATGGAACATACATCAAACAGATGAAGTTTAGGGACCTTTTGTCTTGACTGACTCTTTTTTACTACCCCACCCCGCTAATATCAGAGGGGCAAAACACATAGTGCAGATATGGAGATGCTGGATCCAGACCCTGCCGTCCTCTTCCCATTGCTGTTTGACCTGTGTTGCTCTCCTAGTGGTGAGACATCCAAATGGGGAGTGGGAATCTGTATGTACTCCTGCCTGCAAGCTTTTCAGCTGTTTCTGTAGCAAAACTAGCCGAGCACATCACATGCTTCCAACAGCTTGGAGAAAGGCGGAGTATTCTGTGCCCAGAGGAAGTCTTACTGAGGTTATGCTCTCTGCTAGTGTGGTGTTGGAAGGGTTGGAAAGCTCCTAAAGGCTTCTCTCAGTCAGCACCTGGTAATTCATCCAGACTGACTGTAGCTGCCTCTGGGGCAGGATGCAGCAATTGCTATTGCTGCACGTCATGAGAGGACAGGCATCTGTCTTTTTATCTGAAATGTTAAAGGCAAGGGAGACCTGCACGTTTCAGAAACAGTGGCACAGTGGAGTGGACAGCCTTGTTACATGTGAGTAGTGGTGGGGTCTCCTGAGGTGGACAGAGCTGGCTTATCCCTGCAGGATAAAGCTCAGTGCTGCTAGGTTTGCTCCCGAATCAGAGAGCAGCTGTGACTGTGCGAAGTCAGCAGCACAGATGCCAGTAAGACATGTGTTTCTGCTTTGTGATCCCTTCCTCAAATATCCCTCTAAACTGCTCACAGCAAATCCACTGCTTAGCTTGTGGGCTCTGGCTAAAGATTCCAAGTAAGATCGTGACAGGATTATGCAATTTCAAACAGCACAGACTCAGTTCCTAGGCTGCTTTTACCACAACGGCTTTATTAAAGTCATCTGTTTATCTAGCTAATGAGCTGTTCATTTAGTGAAATGAGTGCCTATTGTTACCATTAAATACTAATGAATATTAAATGCTGACATTAGGCTCTGTCAAGCTGAGAGAATTGGGGTTATTCAGCCTGGAGAACAGAAGTCTCCAGGGGGACCTTAGAGCTCATTCCAGTGCCTAAAGGGGCTCCCAGAGAGCTGAAGAGGGACTTGTGACAAGGGCATGGCATGAAAGAACAAGAGGGAATGACTTTACACTGATAGGGGGCAGGGTTAGATTGCATATTAGGAAGAAATTCTTTACTATGAGGTTGGTGAGGCGCTGGCACACATTGCCCGGAGAAGCTGTGGCTGTCCCATCCCTGGAAGTGTTCAAGGCCAGGTTGGATGGGGCTTGGAGCAACCTGGGATAGTGCAAGGTGTTCACAAACAGCTCTCATGGGCAGCTGAACCCTTCCCAGGTGATGGCTGTGTGTTTGGATGTGCAGCTGGCCAACTCAGGGCTCTGCACAGCAAGCATTTGTGCTGCTATGTGGCCGAGCGCAGTGAGGTGCTTGATAGAGATATGGCTCCTTTTGTGGTTGATGCGTATCAGATGCTGCACCCTATTTGCCTGCCTTGGTGGAGGAAAAGGGAGAGCAGGATGCCAGTGTCTTGAAAACCTTGTGCAGGCTCAGTGCATGAAGTAAACAAGATGAGAGAAGGGGCTGCATTATAGAAAGGACTGTATGGGTTGGGTCATTGCTGCTTCTACAGCAGAAGTGCAGTGGAAGCAAACAAAATCCTGGTCAGAGAGGAGAAATATTCCCTGGACAGCTATGACCAGCATCACTCATCCATGCATCCTGACTCTTTACCAGTCTGTGGTTACTCATGATGGGGAGGAAGGTGACTGATGCACAGTGAAGGTAAAGCAAAAGGAACAGTTGCTGATCTCCAGCTCTTGGCTCAGAAACCTCAGAGCTTAGATGGTTAGCTGGAACTGTCACTGGTGAGAGGTGTTATGTATAACTGTTTCTGTAGCCCTCCCAGGGAGAAGAATATGAGTAAGAATGGAAGAATTGATATATCTGAAGACACTCAAATTCTGTGAGTTCAGGCAGTAACGTTCTGTTTGATCTGACAAATTCTAGTGGTTTTTTGCAGGTTGATTATTGTTTTCCTTTTTTTTTTCCCTCCTTCATTTACCTGAAGCCAGACTTGGGCTCTCTAATTTTCTGTTACAATGTTTTGTGGAGTCACCTCTTCCAGCCCAAGGAGCTGTACAGACTCTGGCAAATTTTTACCAGGTTGTGAAGAAGCATTGTCTAGTGGTTAGAGAGAGGAGAAAAAGGAAGAGATATAGACTTAGATATTGTTATTATTCTCCTAGTGGTCTGGCATGGCTATATTACATCATGATTACAAAAGTGTAATTTTAGGCACCTAAGTGAGGTTCAACGCAAAAGAGAGCATGAGATGAGTAAAGAGAGAAGAAATTTTGCTGCAAGGTGAGGCAAGTTGCACGTGAATTTCTTGTTGATTTTAATTATTTAAAAAAAAAAAGAAGACGAAAAGCTTGACAACTTGTTGCTGATTCATCTCTTGGTGTAATGCAGAGAGTCAAATGTTCCATTCCTTGCACATAACCTGTTACAGGAGATGTGGGACTTTAGTCTGGGGTGGAGGAGTTGGCTGGCAGTGACGGCAGTGGTGTCTCCTGCCAGGCAGAGCTGTGAAGACATGCTGAGCTCCCCAGCCCCTGCCTGTGGTGAGACCAGCAGTGCTGCTTTAGGATCATACTGGTGGGCGCTGGCCTGGCTGGTTATCCCTGCCAAGACATCAGCAGGCACATGAACAGGCACACAGGTTTCTGTTGTAAAGACTCACTTGTTTTGAAAATCAGCTTCTCGTTCCTCTGGGTAGCAAAGAGACTAAAACTCTAGCTGGAATAACAAAACCCAATGTGCTTTCCTCTGTCTCAGTTGCTTCCCCATTCCTCAGCATGCTCTCTATTACTCAGCTCTCTCCCCCCTTACAAACCATCATAGAGGTTTCACATCTCTCTCTCTTTCCCCCATGCTTCATAACCAGTTTCCTTCAACAGTAATCGAAAAAGTCTCCTGTCCATTTTTCTTCTGCTGTTGAGTGACTCCTTCAGTCCCCCTTTGTCAGATCATTCTTGGGGAGTGAAAGACAGCTGGTCAGCTAATTCCTTGGGACCTTCAGCTTGGAAAGCTGCACTGGCAGGGGAGTAGCTGGCCTTTTGAGCCATCTGAATAACTGTCAAAACTGGACTGCGTGCCCTCCTGAGCCTCATGCTGGGGATATGCTTTCTCCTGATGTTTCTCTCTCTCCTCACTAAAGTGAGGTTTATGCCAACAGACGCAAAAGATTTCAAGCAAAAAGGCATCAGAGAGGAACATTTGTGTCTCCTAATAAGGTTTCTGCATGGAGAACAGGTATCCAAGATTTAGCTTTCATTAAAGTCCTGAAAGAGAAGTCCAAACCATGGAAGATAAGAAAACATTTTGCTCAAAACTCCTCACAATCCGTGGAAATCCTGCTTGCTGGGCTGGAGGATGTGACTCAGGTAAGGCTGTTGATGGATGGAAGGGGATGGTAGTTTCTTAGTTCAGTTTGAACCATCCTCAAGTACTGTCTCCCTGCCTCGAAGTGTTTATTTTGTCACCATACACATTTTATTCTGCACAAGGGGATGTTTAGTGGCAAGACATGGTGTAACCCATCTACCAGTCTATGCATCCTCAGAGTCACTGTACCTAAAGCCCTCCAAGCCTCAGATTAAACATGTTTCAGAGCTGGTAGGATTGCAGTGCTACAAGAGAAGTACCAGTGCTGTGCACAGGACCCCTGGAAAGGAGCAGAGCACCAACTGCACAGCTCCCTGCTGGCACCAGGTTCTTTGCAGTGGCTGTAGGTGGCACTGGGTACGGGGAGCTTCTGCCTCCAAGTACTGATTCCTCTCTCCTGTGGGACCCTACCCTGAAAGTGCTCACCAGCACTTCAGCCAAAATTGTTCTCCCCACTGCCATCCTTTGTCTTCATGCAAAGTAAGCAAAAATCCAGCCCTGTTGCTTGAAGGAGACTGGAGGATACACTGAGGGGATGAAGTAAAAGAATATGGGAATATGGTAGCAGACAGTTTCTAGGCTGCCATGCTCCAGATTGCTGTTTGGGAGTGTTGGAGCTGAATGCAGAGCATACCAGCAGCCATATAAGCCCCACTGAATTCTTCGGGGAAAAAAAAAGCCTAAAATTGGCACTTGGTTAAGCAGCGCTTTCGTTTCTCTGTGTTTCAGGTCAC